TAATTTTTTCTAAATATAATTAATAAATTTTTTTCTATTATTATTATGTTAAATTAAAAAATTTTCAATTAAAAGAATTACCTAAACAACTACTCCCTCTGTTCCATATTAATGGTCATTTTAGCTGATTTTACGAGGATTAAAAAAATCAATTAATTACTTTTAATTTTATGAACAAATGTATTTAAAATACAATTTTACCCTTCTAATGCTCTACCATTTATCACGTGCTAATCCCCTTTTTTTTTTTTTAACTCCATCATAACAGACAAAACTCCAAACTAAACAAAAAAAAAAATACATAAAAAATATCTAATCATCAGTTTCAAGAAATCAACCTTTATATATATATATACACGGAAAAGTGCGGGTCAGTCCCACCTTAAAAAAAAAATTGGAGTCCCAACAAAAAACGACGTCGTTTCTTCATCCTAGCCCCCAGTTCTTCGCCCCTTCTGCAATCATCTCCATCTCCTTTAAGCCGCTTCTACAATCATCTTCATCATCTCCGATATGAACAAAGTGCCAAACAAATTATGAGGATTGTAAGGAAGAAAGCAAAGGGACCACAATTCCAGAAATGATAGGAATAAGTACCATCCAAAACTTACTCTAAAAATAGCATTTCCCTAAATTTATGCAAAGGAAATCCAGCAACTGCTTCGCTTTATGCAACAAAATAGAGAAGCAATAAAATAGAAACAAGAATCAAAAAGGTAAATATTTTCTCTTCAATGAATTTCGTTTCTGGTTTATGAAAAAGGAGATGGAGATGATTGCAGAGGAACTGACAGCAGGGACTGGGTTTTCGTGTGAAAAATTGAAGGAATCGCAGTTGTTCCCATCAATTTCATCTTGAGAAATTTACATTGAAAGCTAAAAAAGAAAAAAAGAAAAAAAGAAGAGATCCAACAAAGCACTTACCGGAGATGATGAATTGCAGCGGCAGAGTTGGGTCGGCGGCGTGAGACGATTGCAAAAGGGGTGAAGAAGGAGATGGAGATGATTGCAGAGGGGGGTGGCAGCAGTGGCTGGATTTTTGAGTGAAAAATTGAAGGAATTGGAGGAGCGAGTAACAGGGGTTGGAGATTTTTGAAAAAAAAGACGAACGGCAGGCTGGGTATTTTGAGAGAAAAACGACGTCCTTTGGTTGGAACTCCAATTTTTATTTTGGAGGTGGGATTGACCCGCACTTTTCCGATATATATACATATATATATATATATATTTTTTGCTTGCCTTGAAGAAATTGGGTTTTACCAAATCATAGTGATGGAACCATCGGAGAGTAACAGTAGAGTGAGAACAAGATCGGGGAATTTGAAACCGTCAAGAAGATTATCTCTTGTTGTGGGACTCTATTGGTAGAAGAAACGTAGTGAGAAAGATGACCTTTGAATTGAAAGAAAGAGAGAGAAATTTTAGTTCATTGGCTTTAGGATTTTGTATTTATTAGCCTATTAGGGGTAAATAGTAAGGGTAAATTTGGAAGAAAAAAATTAATATTGTATAAAAATTTTAAAATGATAGATATTTAAAAACAAATTTTAACCTCTAAAACGACTATTAAAATGGAACAGATGGAGTACCCTGCAACAAATCTTTATTAGATTATTGCTCCTTGAATAACATACGAGGTGTTACTCGACCAAACTAACCCATTTTTCCAAAAATAAAATAATTGTTAAAATGAATGAAAGTATGTAGTTTGTTTAAGGAAAAAGAAAAATTTAGAATGTTTTATTATTAAAAATA